GTTATTCTTGCTGCTGTCAGTATAATGTATTATAATATAATTAATTTCCTTTGCAAACGTTCCGAAATAATTTTAGAAGTGGAAGGTTGTGAAATGCTCAGCAGAGGCCATAAGAAACAAGCCATTAGAAAGTATCAGTAGTCCTTGACTTACAACCAAAAAGGGGACAGGAACTTCCATTGCTAAGCAGTGCTGTTGTTAAGTGAGTCTTGCCCCATTTTATGATTTTTTTTGCTGCGGTTGTTAAGCAAATAACACAATCATTAAGCAAATCCAGCTTCCATCATTGACTTTTCTTGTTGGAAACCTCTGGAAGAATCTCAAATGGCGATTACATGACTCTGGGACCTGCAACTGTTGTAAACGTATACAGGTTGCTAAGCACCCAAATTTTGATCATGTGACTAAGGGACACTTCGATATTGTAAATGCGAGAACCAGTTGTAAATCACTTTTTTCAACACTCTCGTAGCTTCAAATAACAAATGTAGTTTGTTAAACAAATGATCATAAATCGGGGACTATCTGTAGACTCTTTTACATAGCACTTATAAGCAATCATACTTGGTTAATTTTAGTAGAATTTTATCATTTTAAGAGCACTGGTGGTGCAGTGTTTAGAATGCAGTATTGCAGCCCAACTCTGTGCACAATCTGGAGTTTGATCCTGACAAGCTCAAGGTTGACTCATCCTTCCATCCTTCCAAGGTCAGTAAAATGAAAACTATGGAATAGTATATAAGTCTAAACGCTATTGCTTTCGCTATTGCTATCATTAAAAGAGAGGCAGTGATGTAAATAATTATATAGATTTAGTTTGTGCGTATATCTGTGCCTTTGTGCATTCTCTTGGGATTAATAGCCAAGTTGGTTAAGTTTGCTGGCAAGTTTTTGCTGACTTTAAATACAGAGGCCCAAGATACAATTTCTGTTTTCTTTGGCAAATAAATAGAGAGAGTAACAGCGTATTTTACTAAAGTTCACAGTAGGATCCTTTGTAAAAAACTGTAATAGACAGTTTAGATCAATAAACAAGAGATAACAAAAATGAAAAAGTAAAGGAAATGTGACTTGAAAAGAAAACAAAGTAGTCTGATCACTGTGAGTTTGAAATGTGTTTCATTATTGTTTGTGTTCACATACAAAAATCACAAGCTGTTTTGAAGATGAGAGTAACAAAAAAAAACTTCCTAGAAAAGATTGATATTACAGGTAAAAGTAATGGGTGTATAATAGGCTCAAATATGGTGTTTACCTTTATTATACAATAAAACATTGCATTCCAATGGCTTGTGATTTACCCTCATTCTGTATAAATCCAGCTACTACTTTCTAGGTTCAGACATAAATTGCAAGACCATAATGTCCAAGCTTATGTCATGCCTGCTTTAAGTCTTTGTAATGATGTTATATGTTTTAAACCTTGTGAATATCTATCATTTTAGCCTTTAAGGTCTTGATATTGGTCTTACAAAGGTCAGTCGCCATGGGGAAGAATCAGTAATTATATGGCAAACTACACATGTTTCTGATTTGATTCTTTTATTTTCAGTGGTAATTGAACATGTATCATTAGAGTAAGAGCACAGGAAAATGCCAGACAAAAGCAGGATTTCTGCCTCAGAAAGCATTTTGATAATTTAAAATATTTTGCAATAAGATCTTATCAGAACCTGTTACAGTCTCTTTCTGGTAATTGCATTATGTTTTTTAAACATAATGTGAAATTTAGCATGGCAGGTTTTTCTTTCCTTTATGTGTGCAAATAAGTTTGTAGTGTATATTAGCACCTGTAACAAATGCAGACCTGTAGTCAACATTTTACAATCCTTTTTTTAAAAAAAGAAACAAACTGCACACACAAATATAGAAATATATAACTGCGTGTCAAAAAGTAGCATAAAATTGAAGGATAAATGTGAAAAGCTATTGGTTTTTTTTAATATGAAAAGTGCTTTAATATTTTTATGTATATTTCTGTTTTAGCTTTTTTTTAAAAATCTAGTTAGACAAGTTCTAGTGCATGGTATATCTTTAGAACAGGAATAAAAGCTTATCTTATTTTGAATAGAAGGTAGTTTTCTGGAGGGCTAAGGTGTCCATTTGCTTCTACATCTATTAAGTATTTTATATCCACAAGAACACACAAACTATATGCTTTTTTCTTAATTTGGCCTCATTAAACACAAATTGGCATTAAAATTAATACTGGATTCCCACATTACATTAAGCCATAAGTTGTTTAATCATAATTTATTAAATACACATTTGGCTGGGATTGAAAAACATGCAATCTTCAATGTAAGATGATGACGATGATGAATAAAAAATAGTTTATTAGCTATGGCATAGAACAACATGCAATTAATGAACTTCCTTCAAGGTTGTGAGGGTTGGAATAGAAACCTTCTATTATGAGACACTCAAGGATGGTCATCTAAATCATTTTAAAATGACAACTTCAAGTAGCAGTGGAAAGAAGTGTGCTCAGACGTGAAAACAGAAAACAGGCAGGAAGAGAAACCAGTAGAAAAAGGTTAGTTTGTTTTTCTGAAATCATAATGAGGAAAAAATAAAGCCCAAGAATAGAAAGCAGTAATCATTGTGATCAGGAATAAAGTGAAACCCAACATTCACTGAATGGCACTTTGACCACTCAAGATTTTGCTGCAGACCAAAGGGACCTTTTGAATCTCAAACAAATACCGTATTTTTGGAGCATAAGACGCACCGGAGTATAAGGCCCACCAAGGTTTTTTTTTTAAAGTAGGTAGGTAGATAGAGGGATAGAGAGGGAGAGAAAGAAAGAGAAATACAGTGGGTAGGTAGGNCGGTGAGATTTGAACCGCTGAACTGCAGATAACAGTCAGCTGAAGTGGCCTGCAGTACTGCACCCTAACCACTGCGCCACCTCGGCTCTTATACACAATCTATTACTAGCCTACTACTTTTAACACATCAAACTCCCTCAAATACATTAATGCACAAATAGTTCCCCTCAAATAGACTCATGACAGATTGTGAGAAACAGATGGGAAGAGTTCAATGTGCATGACAAGAGATAGCACCGCCCATAAATGGGAGCTGTGGGAAGAAAATTTGGATTGTGTTATGCTGCTAAGAGTTGTTTCTGTGAGATGGACAATCACATACCTTTGATTAATAATATTTCAGAGATTCTGTCCTAATTGTTTTATTACGTCTTCAGATTTCAAAATTATAGTCATTTTCTTGATTATTAGCTGATAATTTACTTGAAAGTACAGGTATGACCATAAGTGGGGCCAGGAACTCCATTACAGTCATAAAGTCAAAAATTATGGGACCATGCCAATTTATGACAGCAGTTCAGGTTGTGGTGTTTAGGCAAATTGTATTTGTTTGTTAAGCGTGATGTCACATGACTGGGACTTACAATTTCTTACCAACTTCCTCACTGACTTTGCTTGTTGGAAACTGGCAACTAAGGTCGCAAGTGGCAAACATGTGACTATGGGATGCTTTGACCACTATAATTGTGTGAATCATGGTCATGTGACTGGGATGTTGCTGTAGCCAAAACTTTGAGACCAACCCTAAGTACTAAGCAAAGACTAACTCTAATTTTGTAATAAAGAATGGGGGGGGGAGCAGCAGCAGGAGATGAGTTTGAACCTGTACATTGATTATGTTTATTTTTGATTGATGAATCTTTTTTATCTGGGTTATTGTTTCTGTGCTGGTTGTTTTTCTGTTTTTTCCTGTTTTCTTTTAATATTGATCTATGCCTAGAGTTGGGTGGCCATTTACATTGAAATAAATAGCAACAAAATACAGGAGAGATAACTGATTATAAAATTCTAATACATTTGACTTGATCCAACATTATTATTGTCTCATACTGCTAATATATAAGCTAAAGTTAAATAAAATCAAGATGCTGTTTCTTCTTGAACGCATTTGAGATTTAGCTGTTGAGCTTAAGACTTTTGGATGAGTTTGGCATTTTAGTCCTATATCTATCCATGTTCCTGAATTAGTTTGAGTGCATTTTCCTATATATTGTACGTGCTTCTGTCTGAATGTTCTATATAAGAACCAGTTTCAATTCCAAGCTATTTCGCCTCTTTAAACATTTTTCAACTTTTTTAGGATAAAATATGATTTTAGTCATTTGAATTATATATTGAATCTAAAATAATGTGTCACAATATCTGAATGAATAAAGTTCTCGGGTGTGATTGTATGTGGGAATGATCTTGGAAGACAGGAGGAAGATTGCAGCTTAGACAACATCTGATAAGAGGCAGCTGCAGATGGGGGGAAAGATGGAGAGTGCTTCAAAAGAGACCCCCTTTAGTTTACTGTTGACTAAAAAGAGAAGATGGGAGAAATATTTTCAGTCTTATAAGATTCTATTTAATATAATCATACAGTAAAGATCTGATGCTCCTGGTTATGCTTCTGGCCTGGACTGCCTTGTAAAGCTAATAATAGGACTCTTGAGAAAATATCAAAAGTTACAATAAATCAATTACAGATTGCACAACTGGATTATGTTAGCTATTAAGTGAATGGTAAAACTCTGGATTCAGTTTTTGCTAAACATTGTCATGTTGTGTGCATTGTATTTATTATATTCTGCCAAAGTCAGAAGGTGAACTTTGGCAATTTACACTATAACACACAAAAAGATGGGGGGGCAGGGGGAGGGACTACCGTAAAAGCACAAAACATCTCAATGACCAAATCAATCTAATTTTATTTTTCTATAATATATATTGGGAAAAGTTACTTTAATGAAAACAATATAGTTTAATAAAAGAAACAAAGACAAAGTCCAATAAGAAATAAAAAAATATTAAAATCAAAAAAGTCTGTGATCTCCATCCCCCTGGGTTGATAAAAGCAGAAAGAAAAAAAGTTATTCCATATTTCAGCTCTATATACACAATATCTCATGCCAATCTAGCTGGTTTTTTGAGCATTTTAAATGAAAACTTATTTTCTGTTTTGTCTAGATCTGAATTGACACCTTATTTTGCTAAGCTATGGGAACGTTTAACCAAACATATCTTATTGTTGCAAAACTACCACATTTTAATCAGACAAGATGTAAAAGACATGTTTGGTGCCCTGTTGATTTTGGAGAATCATGAACAAGAAAAGCCGGTCAGTATGTTACCTAACTTCCTGCGTGTTTGGGTAATGCCAGGGAATGACACTTGGTGAATGATTTTCAGATGAAGGAATTGCCGGTATATCTCTGTGTGTACTGTAGAGCAGTAATTTTTACATATAGGCCATGTAATGTGCTTACTGAAAAGGCTTTTTTTGGTATCTAACTGCTGATTTTTTTTCTGAAAAATGAATGTCCTGATTGCTAATCAATAACCAGTCAGAATACTTACATGCATTAATTTGAAGCAAGGTATAAAACAATTTCTAAAACAAGGAGATGAATATATTGTTGCATATTTTTGTCATTGAATGTTACCAGCATTTCTGATTGCGCTTTATTTCATTTAATTCATAAAGTTATATGACATATGAGGTGCTGAAGGGAAAACATAATTTCCCAGAAAACCTTTAACAAAATACTTTGATGTGAGCTGCATTCAACTTTGTTACATTCAACTTTGCGTGAAAAAGCCAAATAATTGTAATGCTTCTAATATTGATGTCCTAGATTGTAATTAAGAATTAACGAATATTTTTCTCATCTATTTGCAATATTATGTTATCTAATAAAAGTCAATAATCTTTCATATTATACAGTAATATAACGTTTTATTAAAATAATACAGCGTATCAAGAATTATAGCAATATAATAAAGAGGAAAAAATAAAAATAAAACATAATTTCTCTCTTAAATTTAGTAAGTGGTTGCATCATCATCGGCTGTAATAAATGCAGCACTGTAAAATTTCCTGTATTTATTGATAGATCTCTTACATCACTATGTAAGAAATGTTGTCCCAATCTGTGGCAAACCTCTTCAACTCAGGAAGTTTAAAAATTTTCTAGCAAACCTATTTCAGGTCCTGACAACGTTTCTCTGGAATTTAAGTCTGAACATTGATTTGGCCATTTCAAAACTCCAAACTTCCTCAGCTGTTCCTTTGTGTGTTCGTGATCACTGAATTGGGACATGAGTCACTTGTGTTTCAGTTTCAGTGAACAAACAGATATTGTCTTATAAAATAATCTAATAAAAAGTTGACTTCATGTTTTTGCCAATGTCAAATTGTCTGAGAAAGGAAAATATCCTTTTGACACTTCCATTTTTGACCATTATTATGAATTTATTGGATATTTTATAGTGAAATGCATGCTTGGTTTCTATCAGACATAATGATTCCACAGAGCCTGAAATGTTTTATTTTTGACTTATTTTTCCGTAAACATTTCCCACAGAAACTTGGAGGCACATTTTTAGAAAATTTGAGACAATGTTCTTCATGAACAAGTGTCTTCCTTTTCCTATTCTATCATGAATCCTTTTATATGCAGTGTTTTTCATATAGTGAAATCATAAATATTAACTTTAGCCAGGATAAAAGGATCCCGTTGAACTGAACTTCCTTATGGACTTCTTTGTCTATTCTTTTGGAACGATTTTGACAGGACATTTATTCATGAGAAGATTCATAATTTTAAATCTACATTGTTCTGGACCAATTAAGTTGTAGAAATTTAGAAATATGTTTATATCTATTTCAAGACAATTAGGCATCACATACATTTTTAATGTGAATCTAGAAATCTGGAATAGAATAGAGCTGGAAGCAACCTTGGAGGTTTTCTAGTCCAGCTCCCTGCTCAAGCACGAGAGCCCATACCATTTCAGACAAATGACTATCTCTCTTCTTTAAAACCTCTAGTGGTGGAGCAACCATGATTTCTGAAGGCAAGCTGTTCCACTGGTTAATTGTCCTCACTGTTAGGAAGTTTCTCCTTAATTCCAGATTGCTTCTCTCTTTGATTAGTTTCCAACTATTGTTTCTTGTCCTGCCCTCTGGTGCTTTGGATAATAATTTGACAAAAAAAACATCNCTAAATATATACCTTCTTCCCTGGCTTCAGCTGATAAGGAGGAGACCTGTGGCTCAATGGCTAAGACGTTTGCCTAAGATGCCATACAGCACAGGTTCGAGTCCCAGCAAGGGTATGGCTAGCTGATGAGAGCTAAATAGCTTGAAATAGATCTATACTAGTCTCCCTTTATTTATTTATAGCACAAATATAACATACATACATATATATGAGAATCAGTTAATTAAGTTGATATATCAAATGTATTGCAAAGTTTGGCAGAGAAATGTATAACATACATATAATATCAGTTTTGTCTTTAGTGTAGTGAGCAAGTCATAAGTAAATGAGAAATGTATAGCATGTTATAAAATGCTTTCTTAACTAAGATTTATAAAATATGTGATAGCTGAGTGAAATTGTTCTTGTTCTTGTTCAATGAGGTTGAAATTTATCTTCTTTTCTGGTCTTTTAATTATATGATTCTAGATACATTTTGAACTGAATCTTATTTCAGTATAAATTGTTCAGTTGAAATGAAATATAAGTTTGGCAGACCTAGGGATATGACTATTTTTTCATTTCTTTCCTCTGAGAAATATTCAAAACATTTTTCAAATACCAGGTGAAGATACATTAACATTAGAAATAAATTGACTGAATAAAATAGAGTAGATGTATTAAAATTAAGAAGTGTGGCAAAAATACTATAGTCTTTCCAAAATGATTGATTTATGAATGGGTAATATAAATAATTGTGAATAATTTAGGCTGCAGTTCTATATCCACTTTATCAGAGAATATAAAAAGAAAAATTTTATTAGTGTTTTAATGCATAAACTTTTAACATCTGTGTGTGTGTGTGTGTGTGTGTTGCTTATGTGTGTAAGCTTTTTTCCTTTATAAATCATCAGAAAATTTGAGATAGCCATGCTTTTCATGTGTGATCCTACAGTCTTCACTGGCAACTAAATAACCTTAAGTTATTTATTTAACTTAAGGTTATTTAGTTGCTTAATTTATTTACTTGTCTGATTTAGTCAGAGACCTTTTATTGTCTCTCTAAAGGTACTTGATTTTAGCCAAAAAGCTGCTGGATTAAAGTAGTAGTTTTATAAAGCTGCCCTCAGGTTACCAATAAAATTGACAGCAAATTCTTTACTGTTTGGCCTATGTAGAGTATTGAAGGGGGGGGGGGGGACGGTGCTACTGAGCAGATGCTAGTGTTAATTTAGCATCCATTTGCATTTTTTTAAAACAAAGTAGATGTTTTCCTGGTTCAGTTTTGAATTGTGGAACGGAACCATGTCATATTAGGAAAAAAATATTTTAAAGAGTTCTCAATAAGTACTATATGACCTCTTTTGTATGCCTCACTTTGCATAGGCCTAAAATTATGCCATCTTTGAAAAATTAAGTGCATATTTTACCAGCCTCATATATTAGAAATGTTAAATCCATTTAGCAGAAAAACAGTAGAGATATAAGGAGAATAAGGTTATACAACCATGGAAGGGCTGGGATTTTTAAACTGCAGTTATAGCGACAGTAAATATCCATTTGAAAGTCATGCTTAGATAGTTTCGAAGCTCTTCTTTCAATCTCCCAGTAACATTTTTGACACAGTTATCTGTACTCTAGAAAAATAGTGGACAGACTCTTATCTAAGAAAATAGTTATTAAGTGTGAAGCAATATTCAATCCAAAATATTATTCTCAATGCTACTAATTGGCTGTCTTTCTAAAAACTGGTAATAGTCAAAGTTTTGTGACGGAATTGTGCCATTATTGTTTTTTATTAAACTCTTCATTGCTTGCTTTCATTTCTAATGGAGATTTTTATCCCTTGTATGTTCTGTCTCCGTGTTCTGATGATGATATTATCCATTCAGTTGTGTCTGATTCTTGGCAATTCCATGTTCTAGAAACTGTTCTTATATATGAAATATATGACTTAGAATCATATATTTAACACAGTATCTTGATATGTTGGTTTTTAACTTTACCCATGGAAAAATGTATGTTACTTAATAGGTAATCTTGAAAACAATTCAACTGGATAGGAGTCTTGTACATCATAACTCATTCTAAACTCTCCTCATAGTTAATTCCATCTCAGAAAGCATACCAGAGAAAAATTTAGAGCACATTCTATTTACAGTAATTAATGTCTTTCACCCATTGAATTCTATGTTTGTTTGGAGGGTTTCATGATCTTGAAAAAAATGAACTAAAGAAGTTCAAATCAAATCAAATTGATTGGATTAGAGCTTTTTAAATTTCTTAAATTCATCTTTTTTTTAATTGATTTGTTTTGTTTTGGTTTGGTTTTAAATTGCATACAGATGCTACAGGCTCCAAGCATATTTTTGTTTATGAACCTGAAGTGCTGTGTAGTCCTAATAATTATTGCCTTCCAGAAAAAAAATCCTTTGCATTTGTTACTATTCTCATTTTATTTTATGAAAGAGAATTTGCTCATGGTCGGAATTTGTTAAAAGATGGGTGGGTGCAATTCCCGCATTCTTTATTATATAACCATCTTTTTTAGCATTTCGCACCTTCCTCGCTTTCTATATTTCAGGTTGGGAAATAGTATGGAGGTAATATTTTTAAGTACGTAGTATTGCTACTATCGTTATCATGGTAGAATCTTTCCCCCAAGAAATTGTTGGAGAGGTATATATTCATTGAGAAGTTCAGAGAAATTATCCAACTCCCTGCCATATAAGTATGTCACCCAATATCTTTGCCCATAAGAATTTCAAAAAGGCATTTGTGCTAACCTCTAATTTTAATTGCAAGGTCTATCTGCCTGGAGACATGGAAGCAATGGCTGATTTTAGTGACAAACTTATGAGAAGTCATTTTTCCTGTAGATCAGAGGAGGAGATATTTTTGTAAATTCTTTCTATTTTCTTTCCTCTCTGAATATTCAATTTTCTGGTTATCTAAGCACCTTCAGCTTTACAAAATGCCTTAAAGCTAGGATCTGATTTGAATCTTAGCTTAAATGCTTACATTGTGAAAAGTTTAAGAAATATAATAAAGGATCATTTATTCAATGAGCTCTCCCCATTTTCACTCATCAACTTTTAAATTATTAGTTTTCCTTTCTTGACTCACCCTTTTGGCACAAGCAAAAATTTGATAAATATTTACTGTTTAAAATAAAATTTCATTTAGTTTTATTTAATTTTAATGACTTTTTAAAACTAACTGTGCTACTAACTACATGTAATATAGTAAAAGGAAAGAATTTTTACAATATGTTTCAGTGAAACTTTGGATAATTAGAAAGTTATTCTAATATATCTGGGATGGACAGAAATTGGATTGTTTAACTATATATATATATATATA